TTTATCTTTCAGATGCTTTTCTAACCATAAGAGCAACACTTTCAGCAACACCGCATTGGCTCGAGTCCAGTGGGCATACCAATGCGCTGTTCTCAGCAATTGCCATTGGCTGTTTGATCGGTACAATACCAGGACCGTATCTGATACATCGAGTAGGCGTATGGTAAGCTAGTTTCTATTTTGCTCTTTTCTGTTCAATGCAATGTACTCGGTAAACAGTTCACAGCTGCAGTAGCGTGCCGCTTTTCTCTTGTAAAAAAAGTACGGGAACAAAGCTGGGGGTGGCGATACCCGTGTGCCACGTCCATGCTTCGCTCCATTGCGGATCACATTGCCCTTGCAATATTTCGCATTTTCAAAGGTCACTGAACACCTAAACTTTGTGTCTTGACGCGTTCTTATCATTAAGCTTCAGGGGTACAATGACACTGTTCGGAGTTCTGTCCACGTTCGCAACGCTAGCTTTTCCTCTTGCCGTGCACTTTGGTTTCGTGACTGTGTTCGTCATGAGGGTTCTGCAGGTACGATATCAACATTCACTGTTGTTTCCATTAAATGATTCGTTTCTACTTATGAGTTAAGGAAGAAACATTGAGGGCCGAAAGGAAGGATTACAAAGATTTTGTAAAGTCCCTTGAGGCAGGAGAGATCCGTGGCTGTCAGCCGAAACACTCGAGCGTGGTTCAGTCGTCATCAAATCGCTCTTTTGCCCTGGCCAGCGAATAGCCCTGACTTAAACCCAATCGAGAATGTGTGGGGCTTCATGGTACGCAAGATCTATGCGAACAATGCACGATTCCACAATGTCCGTGAGCTCAAGAAGTCAATAATTGATGCATGGCAGCATGTCGACCGAAAACTGATTTAAAACCTCTATTCGAGCATAGACAACCGCATTTTCCAACTTATTCAAAGGAATGGGGCTGCAGTAGATTATAGAATTAACAATTCATTCATTTTGTTGTACACTTGTTGTTTTATGAATCGATTTGTTTAGTGGAACTATACTTTTGGGACATTGTCAAAGTGAGAAATTTTCAAAAAATAAAGAAAATTGAAGTTGCTCTGGAAAGTTAGTTCTCGGATGTTGGCATGCAAATTGGCACTGGTAATTACCACATTTTCTATCTAAAGGCTTTTTCGAAAACGTCGTGTAGGGCGGGATATTGTGAAACTTATGGGTGGAACTACACTTTTGGGACGCAGTGTACGTATAACACCTACTTACGAAAGCACCACTACGAGAATCGCGCTAATACTTGCATATAATGCACTCTTCAAGGGTTATAGTGCACTCGTCAAAAAAGTATGTCGTACTCGTGAACAGGACATCGAACTACCCTCATAGGCGTAATAGTAGAGTAGCGCCAGAGTTGAAGGTAATTTGGCTCATTACATTTATGTAAATATTCTCCAGTTGCAAATAGCTAGAAATAAACGGTGTAAGTGTAGTAAGCTAAATGTACGTAGCGCTGCGCATATGCCAAAATATAGAACCTCTACGTCGAGACGAAAGAAAGCTCAAGTGAAATGTGCACAAAGTTCCCGTCCATCCTTGAACAGTGCATTATATGCAAGTGTATCAGCATAATTCTGTAGTGGTACAAGCGTAAAGTACGGTGTTAGTAGGTCCGCTGCGGAATTACAATCAATTGGGCGCCACTTCGGGTTACGGTACCGTGGCGGTAACGCTGAAGCGCTTCTTGTTTATGTTACCACCTCACATGAGCACCAACTAAATTTCACTTTTGTATCTTTCAGGGCATTGGCACGTCACTATCTTATCCAGTGACAGGTCTTATCGCTTCACAATGGTCAACAACTAAATCAGCTGGAACTTTCATTGCTGTGCTGTCATGTCATGTGCAAGTAAGGCTAAGGACAACGTCTTTATGGATTCAAAATGTGACAAATAACTAAAAGAAAAATCATTTGAAGAATTTTGCAGTTCTGCTCCATTTTTACGATGCCAGTGTCGGGTGCATTATGCGAAACATCGCTTGGATGGCCATCAGTGTTCTACTTGCAGGTACGTGAAAACGACAGCACTATGTATTACAAATATTACAAGTCTCATCGGAAGCGCCCCTCCCCCCACAATTTGATTCGCAGCGGATTATAAGGCGTGTCTGTGCCGCTGCGTTTGGCACTTTGTCAGACCCGTTTCCCAGCACTGTTTGGCACCGTGCCAAACGCTGTGGCACTGGCACGCCCCATAATCCGCAGCGAACCAGACTGCACTATGGTCGGTTCTCAGAAGAATTTGATGTTGATGTCCCATCGAACCGAAAACCAACTACTCCCAGATCTGAGTACCTGTAGTCTGAATTTGTCTTCAAATAAATATTAAATAATTCCCTGCTGCCGAAACAAGGGACGAAGCGTGCATTTCTTCCATCCTCCCTCCTTGCTGATTTTGATGATGGAACTGAAAGCTCAAAAAATATAACAGGGCATCCAATTTTAATAGCCGCACAAGCGGCCATAGCGACAAGTGCAGAAAAAGGACTACTGCTCCAGATACAGAAGAAGAGTGCAGCTCAAGTGGAAAAGAGACTGGAACCAAGCTGCACATTCACCTCTGAGGATGAACTTGCAATGTGCGAGACGAATGAGTCCGCAGCATAGGTCTGCACATTGAGGATAGCGCGAAACTCCGTACTCGCGTTATCCTAAATGTGCGGCAGTTGTGCCGATGCCAAGGTCTCGCACGAAACTCGTACACAGCGGTAGAGAACGTCCAAAAATGATAGTGGCGCAAACGAATAGCGCCGTTGCCTAGGCCCCTGGCAGAACGTGGCACTCGGCTATCGCCATCCACATCCATCCCCGTTCGCGTGGATTTCGAAGTAGGGATTGTAGCACGCTACTGCAGTTGCGGACCCATTCTCCAAGACACAGCAAGGACCAGAGATACTTGTCGAAGAGTTCCTGAAAGCAGTGAATTCCGGAGAACTTAAGCGTTGCAGAATAATGTTCCGCCTTCGCAGAAGCCGTATTGTCGAGCCTTGGATTCAAAGCTATAAAATAGACGATTATGCTTCTTCCCTTAGCACTGATTGGGTTCTGTCCACTCATAGGCAGATCAGCCAATAGCAACGGGTTGATAAGTGGGCGGATTTTCTTTTGTTTCATCGTTCGTTCCGGCACCGTTTAACAACTTCATCAAAATGTACTATACATTTTGGTTCGTTCAGAAACATGTTTCTTCCTAGACGTGATTTGATCACTTCGATGGCAACGGTCTTGACAGGTGTACAGACCGGAATTCTTTGTTTTCTCCCCTGGTGATATCATTCGGCAGAACCCGGGAACGATTACTTGATCGACTGGAACTGAAGGGAGATGGGGCGCTAGGAAATCTACTGCCGGATGTGCTCGTGGATATAGTGTAGTTCGCTGCTGACGGTTGGGCGTGTCAGTGCGACTGCGTTTGGCGCGGTGCCAAACTTGTTCTCCACCAGTTATTGAAGCGGGCAAGCACTGTATCATATATTTCGTATTACTCGTTTTCTACCACTTTTTGTCGCATGCGCCTTTCAACAAGAGAGAGACGGCTTTCACGGGGTGACACACTCATACTGCCTGACACGCCCAACCGTCCGCAGCGAACTACAGTGTAAATGATGCCACCGAAAATGTCGGTTATGAAGTTGGCGCTATTGCGGTTGAGATCGGACTCCTTTGTAGATTCAGTGTAAGAAGAGCGCATGGAATCAAAGTTTCCGTGCAGCTGAGTCTCAGAGCGCAGATGAGCAAACTTCGAAAACTTTTCCCGCCCGCTACGAAGTGTTCCCCACCACGATTCAAACAATTCCGAGGAATACGTTAGATTGTGAGCCGACCGTTGAGAAAACCGGTGCAATACGAATAACCATTTATCCATCCGCCTCACATGCAAAACTGGGGAGACAGAAAAGAGGATCGTCATTGGGGCGCTCGCTCACGACGCATCGTCTGGCGATGAAAGTGGAAACTTCAGCGTATGCGTCAGTTTCTCGAATGGAGCAGCTCGCGGAATTGTTGTATATTTCTATTATTTTTATATATTTTCGCACATATTTAATTTGTTTTTGGGCGTCGATATTGTCTACGAAAACTACGAGAGAGCCATGTCAGAACCGATGACGGATAGCGCGCTTCGATAGCATCCTTTCCCCTCCATTTAGTATTCAGCCTCGAATGAATAGGGGGCAGAAGACAGCTCTCTCGTCGCTGGCTACGCCGCCTACGCGGCAAATTACTACTCTCTTGTCATACGGAGGGGGGGGGGATCAAAAAAAGACACTTTGGTCGAGTCACATATCAGCAAAGTTTTCGCAGCCCAGAAAGAGGACGCGGATACGAGTACCAGGGCGGAAGAGATGAGATGTTCATCGATAAGCAGGAGCAGGCACTCGCAGCCAACACCTTCATGGGTAAACCAAACATTGAAGTAATCTCCACTCGCTGGTCGACTGGAAAAGGTTTTGAATTCATTGTCATCTCCAACAGCTGCGGAACTTCTCGAGTAGAGTCACCTATGAATAGCTACCTGGATGCCAATACTCTTGATCTGGAAGATCTCCAACATCGAGCAGCTCCGACAACGTCGCCGCTAAGCGGTGCTAGCCAACAGTCGGAGGCAGCTGCCGAGCAACGTCCGCTATCGGTCTGATATCATCTTCAGCCGGCATTCCCAAGGCGGCGTTTTACTGGTATGGATCGGATAGTCCTGAATGTGAAGATCGGATGTTTTTTAAGTGGAAGCCCAGACCTGAAAGTGAACAGCGACGTGTTACAGTCGCGCGAGAATACGAATCGTAGGGCGCTCGAAAAACTCTCGCCCATTTGGAATGGAAGGGCGCTGAGTACCTGAAAAAAACAGAATATCCAAGATTGTCACCTGTTCTCTAAACCGCCTCACTTATCCGGTTCGGGCTGAACAGGGTGGTCTACTGTGGCGGAGATATCAACAATAACTCAGGTACCGATTCACAGTTCGGTTGCAGTTCGCTGACTCAGGTAGCGCAGATTGCACAGGGGTCGCGGTGCAGAGGAGTCTCTTGATGGCGCTCGTCAGAAGCTGGTAAACGGGCATCAATGATAGTATAGCAATAGTGCTGCTGAGAGTGTGGTGGAAATGGTGAGTAGGATCAGAATTCAACTTACAGCGCCGTGGAAGTCAAGGAAGAGTATTTTGTTTGGCTCCCCCCATCTGTATACCAGCAAAACTGCCAGCCAGCATCCACCCTTCGAATCTCATTTCTCCAACACCGTGGTTATAAAGAAATATTATATTATATTATTGAGCGCTTTCGAGTTTACCGTGTGAAAATGATGATGTGAAAATGGAAGTTTTACAGGGTGCTGTGTCTGCAATTATTTTTCTGGTGTTCTTCCTCTTCTACAAAGATGATCCACGAGAGCACAGGTAGAACATTCTGCCACAAACGTTTTGAAAAAGTTTCTACTGGTCCGCCAAAAACAGTTCCAGTGCCTGCCGTGGATCCTCTATTCTCCGGGCTCAGTCTGACGGCCGCATTGCATAACACTGAAGAGGGAGTAAGGACAAAACTACCTGACAATAAAGAAAGCCAACATCTCGCATCAAACAAACGCACCGGACCCAGCTTCGGACTCAAATACGGTAACCCGGATGGCTGAAATCTGATCGTCTGTCACATATGGCTATATAGTAGGATCATCTTTTGGAAAGACATGTTCCCGCCCTTCCGTAAGTCCTCTCAGCCGCTGGCAGCCGCCCGCACAAATCTCTGGGCGGTTATTCAGCCACCGATACAGAGGTTGGCATTACCATGTTGGAGACCAAACTGGACGATGCTACTATTAGGTTGTCCGGAAAGTTCTCAGCGTCTTGTGTTACTATTTTTGTACATTCATTGCTGATTAAAAAACTCATTCTCTTTTTCGTCTCAGTAGTACACCCTGAGGAGAATTTTCAGATCTTTATCTGATGGTGAGGCGGAGCGAGGTGGTGTAAGTGACAAGGTGGGCCGCTTCACCACTCGCCGCGGTCCTGATTCGACATGCCCCAGGCTCGACACACCCCGCCCACGGACAACTAAGCCTCCCCCCCTCCGACAGGGCAAAATTGGTACTAGATTCGTTGAGGGATAAGAACACTCGCTTGTACTCGCTGGCCCCCGCAGCGGATATGCTGTATAGGCTTCGATCGCATCCAATAAGCCAGCCAAAATGGAAATAGAGAATGCGTGCCGGACGTGCCGCATCCCAGAAAGGGATTGATTAACGGCGAAGACTTTATGCCTTGTACCAGTCGGCTCGCCGGCTAACGCCGGCGCGCCTCCTTCTGATACGGCCCGGCTGCGCCGGGCGAGCGCGGCTTCGCCGCGCGTATTTTCTTTCACATATTTCTAGACTCAACTGATATCCCTTTGTTTTTCTGTACTGCCGCCCCCGCCCGCTTTTCGGCGGGTGTCTGGAGTTCTTAAGCTATATATTAGCCGATTCTCCGTCTGAATGCCGCCCCACCTCGGAGCGAGGCGCCGCGCCTACATGTTTGTGGCCCCACCATATGCCCTCACGCGGCGACCTCTGCTGACCTTGAATCCAAATCCCACGTTTTTTTCGGTTTTTTGAAGTGCTCCTGGGGACAGTTTTAGCAGAATTTCGTCGTGGGCTGTCCGGCCCACCTTGGCTGGTCCGCCCCGACAATATGTCTACCCCAAAACATTTCTCAATCGGCGACCCCTTTCTGACCTGAACTTCAACATTTTTTCCGGTCTCACGGGTGCTCTTGAGACACCTTTTACAACCTTTTTGTCTGGCTCTCCGGCCCCACCTCGAGCAGCGCTCCGCCCCACAGTGTTTTTGCCCCACAGATCTCATCGCGACCCTTCTCGCTGAACTGGTGAGAGCGCCTGGTGTGCGGGTATCTATGGAGTGTATCTGGAACCGAGCTACAAACTTTCTAAAATGAAATACTCGCGAAAACTCTTAGGGCAAACTCGCCCACTTGTGGCGGGCCTCAACACTCTTTAGCGTGCCCTACTATTCGGCCTAGATATTCCAATTCCCTACACTGAGTTTTGTTGCGACTTCCAAACACTCTCGCGAACCGGGTTACTGAATTTTGCGAGAAGCACCGCCCACCTTGAGTACGCCCGCCCATTTAGGGTGTACCTGCCACAGTTAGTCTGGCGACTCCTTACTAACCTTAGTCCCTTTTTTCCCCATCTTTAAGCTGCTCCGGAAGCGAATTATGAACATTTTTCTGCGGAACCCCAAACTTTCGGCGAGTGCCCCGCCCACTGTGGGCGGGCTTGCATGGTCAGCGTGTGGTTTTTATTTTCTTGTCTCATCGCTTTACCTATCCCCACCATTGACCTGGACCTCTCCAAGTCGTTCTTCAAGTCGAACCGAATTTCCGGACAGACAAACTTACAAACTTACAAACTCACAAACAAACAAACAAACAAACAAACAAACAGACAAAGCGAATTATATATATGGGGTGATCCTTTTATCTGATGATATAATTGCCTCACCATTGCTTGATAAACCCCTTTTCCCAAAACTTTTTGAAGCATGTCAAAAGAGCAACTTCGGACGATATTTTTCTTCAACTATTGGGTTGGAACATAAGTAATGGCGTTTTTTTTCAACTGAAAATTTTGTTCTAAAAGTGAAATGTTTCGCAAGCAAGCTTGATATCATCTGGATAAGATAGGAAAACTTCGCGTAGTATAAGAATATTTGAACAGCTCCGGTCGAGGGAATAGTTTTTGTGAATTTTTTAGTCGTTGAAGTTCAAAGTGAAGTCGGGGAAAAAATTAGCACCTTCGACAATGCCTCTATGTATTTAGCGTCGTACGCTCGAAGTGATCGAAATCGTTTAAGCTGCGCTGCCATACATTTGGAAACAGGTCGTGCCTCGCAAGCACAAGGGAATCTCAATAGGACGCTTTGGAACTAATTTCGAGAATTTCAAAGTTGGTCAACCTTCACCTCGCCGATATTGGGCAGGCTCACGTCTGTTCCACCTGAAATTTCATGCTAATAGTTGAATTAATTGAATTTGAATTTGATATTCTGCATTGCTGGCCTAATACTACGAAGTTTGCTATTAAACGATATTAAGCTTGCTTGCAAAACGTTTTACTTTTGGAACAAATTTTTCGATTGAAAAAAACGGCCATTACTTATTAGCCAGCCCACTGCTAGTGGGCTGGCTAATAACTGCTAGTGGGCTGGCTAATAAGTAATGGCCGTTTTTTTCAATTGAAAAATTTGTTTCAAAAGTGAAAAGTTTTGCAAGCAAGCTTAATATCGTTTAATAGCAAACTTCTCGTAGTATTAGAATATCAAATTCATATTCAATTAATTCAAACTATTAAGCGAAGGAAATTTTCCCTAATAGCGAGGCAGTTGTCCGAAAGTATGCTAATTTTCCCCGACTTCACTTCCAACTTCAACGACTAAAAAATTCACAAAAACTATATCCTCAACCAAAGCTTTTTTGATATTCTTATACTACGAGAAGTTTCCTATCAGATGATATATAACTTGCTTGCAAAACGTTTCACGAACAAAATTTTCAGTTGAAAAAAAACGAAACACTTATGTTCCAACCCAATACAAATTGGGTCAACCCGCAGTCGAGACAGCTCGACAAATTAACCAGGTGTGGGGGCCCAATAGTGTTGGAGAAATCACCGTGCGACAATTGTTCGACAAATTTCGTTCTGGAGATTTCGGCCTTGAAGATGAACTTCGTAGCGGTCGACCTAAAGCAATACCTGACGAGGATTTGAAGGCGTTTGTGGAGGCTGAATCATCCCAAACAGTTCGAGAGATTGCAGAAAAGCTAGGCGTTGGCAATCACTTGTTTGGGGCGGATGGGTCTGAAACGCATCTGGAATGGTGAAAAAAGTCGGCAAGTGGGTGCCCCACAATTTGAGTGACCGGCAGAAATTGGCATGTCTCGAGGTTTCCTCTTCACTGCTTTTGCGCAACAGAACGACCCGTTTTGGACCGAATTGTCACCTGTGATGAAAAGTGGATCATGTATGATAACAGGAGACGTTCCGGACAGTGGTTGGATGCCGACGAACCACCGAGGCAATTTGCCTCCTCACGAAAAAAAGATTATGGTCACGTGTGGTGGTCATCGGCTGGTATGATCCACTATAACTTTTTGTCAGCAGACCAAACCATCACAGCAGACTCCTACTGTGAAGAAATTGACGAAATGCACCCAAAATCGCGTCAGCTGCAGCCAGCACTTGTCAACAGAAAGGGTCCGATTCTTTTGCATGACAACCCGCCCACACGTTTCACAAATCACTATCCATAAATTGAACGAATTGGGGGTTGAAGTTCTACCTCACCCGCCATATTCTCCAGACCTTTCACCAACCGACTATCACCTTTTCAAACATTTTCAGATTCCTTCCTGGACTGGTACTAACATCACTCAGGGACGCATGGCAAAAAAACCTTCGTGGATTTGCACCACGCCAATTTTTTTCTTCTGATGGGAATATATCGACTGGTCTCCACACTTGCAAAAGTGACAGTGATTCGAACGGTGCTCATTTCGATTTAATCCGATGGTATCAAGAAAGTTATTATCGTTGAAAGTGAAACACTCAAAACGCTGAGAACTTCTCCGGACAAGCCTAATACTTCTTCAAACAAGAGTGTAATACATTTGCTTCCATTGTATGGGTGGACCAAGTTCTTTGCACCGCTCGAGCTTTTGGAAAGATCCTTCTTGTTTCTCTCACACTTCGCTTTTCGATGGCTCTCCACACTATCGCGCCAGCTACGCCCTCCACATTCCTCCAATAAGTCCAAAAACTAACTGTTTACTGCGAGGACGTTTCTGACACGATTTGGTCCCAATTTTCCTTCGCCTGGACAGTAATTACTGGCCTTTGCAGGCTGAACCACTTAGATTCAACAGCCCTGCAAAATTGCTCCACCGCCGTCTTTGGTATCTCATGTTGCTTTTCAGCCCATGTGCATGGTAGTGTGAAAGATCCGAGTTAAGGCAGTGGTTGCAAATGATTGAATAGAAGTAGTGTCACGTGCACACCAGAACCAACTGATCCAATGGGGGAAGGCTGTACATCAGGTCAACTACCTAAGAAATACACAGCTAGCTTGCTGGGGATGATTCAGCTCAGATATCCTGACATGCGCTGTCAAATGAACCTTTTGCCCTTACGATAACTTGCAGAAGAATCAGAGCGCAATGAGTTTCTTTTTAACGCAAATGTTCTTACTGCCCATATAAACTAATGGTGATGGAGACCCGGTCAGCTCAATCCTGAGGGTAGGAGGTGACGGTTTCTCAGGCCACTGCCCCACACCCCCCAAGACTACCCATTTCTGCTTTGATGATGAATTCTTACGGCAAAAAGATCCGGGCGAACCCCGTGCAACGGAAAAATGCTCGTAGTGTATGGATTTCACTTCCACTTTTTTCTCTAACTCACATTTTTATATTAAAAGGAGAACAAAACTAGAACGGTATTAAAAATTGTTATTTGAGAAATGTGAGCTCGACCGAACTTGCAAAAATCACAAAAGGAAAACAGGGTCAAGAGAAGCAAGCAGCTCCGTACAGGTTCGTTATTTTATTCATTAAACTCTAGCGGTAATGTTTATTCCACAATGTTTTTCACTTCTTGATTAGAGCTTCGCATTTCAGAGTCCTAGACTATCAAGTTGATTTGGTGACGTCTCTCTGCTAACATTCGTCAGTGCTTGTTTTGTTTCTTCATGCTACGCCAGAACTATACGTCCGTAGAGTGAATCTGATTTTAGGCCAATTGCAACTGATGCCGTGCATTATCGTATCTGGTTGTCGAAACTAGTCGGTGTATCTCCGGCTTCCAAATTATTGCTTACTCTATGGGCCAACGTATATCAATAAGGTATGTCCGCAAACTTTCCAGATATTGCACTCGCGAAACAGCCCACGAAATGGCAGAAGGAGTACTCCACCTGAGCTGGCCGTAGCCAAGTATGATCGGCGCGAATCAACACTCAGTGGGTGTGTGGTGATTCTATCGTGGGCGTCGCGCGCCGGTGCGAAGCGAGGCGGCGTGCGGCCTGCCCGCGCTACGTGTTTCGCTTGCGTGGGCGTTTAAATTCTAAGGGATCATCGACCCTTTAAACATTTGAACGTTTGGCGCGATCACGTTACAGTTGACGTGTTGTAACAGGTTGGATTTATCTGGAAGTAGGTTTGCCTGACAGGATTTGACGTGTGGGCAATGAGAAAAATCGCGCCAAGCCATACACCCAACGCCACGCAACAAAATGTCAATAATCAATGCTTTCATGTTATAACTCGGGAGTACGGTAATGCAACTCCGGGATTGCCGCGTCGCGACGTGCCGCGCAGCGGCATGTGCGGCGTCGCCTGACTTGCCGACGATAGAATCGCCCGGGTCCCCACTGAGTTGAAGGGAAATCTCTCTTCTACGTACAGTCGTCATCCGGCAGTATTGATTTGAGGCGGCTAAAGGGTCACGACGCTGCTACGGCCCCCATCACGACCGCGGCGATCAGCTATGTCCAGCTCGAGTAAGAAACCATTGTGCCAACTGCCTATAACATCATAGAACTTTCACGTTTGATCATATGAGTCGTGCTGGGACTGTCCCCATTAATAGACTTTACCCCTTTCCCCGCGACTCACGGCTAACTTTATCTATTTGGAGAGGTAACATTTGAGTACTGCTATTGATAGAGGAAATTCCCATATCTTGCTGATTCAGGTGCTTCATTACGATGTGACAAGGACAGGTCTCACCACTGCACTACCATATATTCTTTCGGCGACGCTTAAGTTTTTAGTGGGGCCAATATCTGATCGAGCAAGCTGTATTTCGGACAGATGGCGTCTTGTATTCTTCGCCGCTTTCTCACAAGGACTGATGGCTTTGTCTTTTCTTGCTCTCGTATTTGTGAGTCATTGGTTTTCATATATCAAGTAGTGACTTTGTCGTTGAAGCACTTTCCCAGCAACGAAAGTCTGCCCAGTGCATGGCGGTAGTATGAGTGGAAGCAGTTTGCCCGTGTCTTAATCGTTGGCGCATGTCGTCCTACCGTCCTAAAACCACCACTGATTAAATAACACTACTACTGACTGTGTCCGCCCATACCACCGGATTGTGCTGTGCCTACATATAACCTTTGAATGCTAAACGGTCAAGGATACCGTAGCTGAGGCTCACGCAAATCATATCAATGACATCAGACGAGGTGTCTCTTCTTCAAAGTGAGTCAACAGTTAGGGTCATTTCCCTCATTTACGCCTGTAAAAGAACCAGCTTCGTGTACTCCGGAGTACAATTGTCTTTATTATGGACAGCTCATAAAGGGCTGTATCTTCCACGATACTTTCATTTCTTTCTAGGCATTGTGCACTGTTCCAGATAACGTCTCCCAGTCTGGCTCAAACTGCCTATACTGTTGCCATAGTGTCTAGCGGTATTAATGCAGTTGGCACTATAAAATGCGCTCAGATGGTAGGTATATGTAGTGTAGAACCGAAATATTCATTGTTAAGGTCAATTCTAGTTGTTAATTTGTCAGATTGGAGGTGCATACTATACAGCTCTCCGTATACATTCATACCACTTTAAGGTAGCACGACAACACGTCCACGTTGTGATGGCGGTGACCTCGTTTTTACTGTGCGTCATAGTTCTAGTGATCCCGCTTGCCGTCAACATAGTTTGTCCGGACAACACTCCGGAGCAGGTACCCGTCTTCACCATTAGTACTGGTGACTTCATCGTCAGTCCAACCTTTGCAAAATCTTGGTTATCATGTTCACTAAACAGCCTACTCTGTGCCGCACAGCCGTCAAAGACACAAGTACGCTCACCATCACATTTTGAGTGTGCTGATGGTGACCTTAGCAGCCCCGCCCAGGCTCGTGAAGCATAGCGGTTTTCTCCGTTCAAACATGCGCAGGAATGGAGATACAGAAACGTGGAACACACTAGTTCGTCCATGCTCCGTATGCCTTTTTGCGGCGCAGATTCCCGTCCTTCATAACATCCGTCGTAAGCGCGCGTGTCGCGTGCGGCTCCTTGGCACTTTGCCAAGTCCTTTAATTGCGCTTCTCAAATACAAGTAAAACGCAATTTCCTGATGCGAATAAAATTTTAGGTGTTGCTCATGCTTCAAAATCCATGTACAAGGAGATGAAGATGACACAGGCTAGAAATGAAGCACAACGATGTAAATGTAAATAAAAAAATGAAAAAATCAAGGAAAGGCAAATTAGTTAAAATCGCCTGTAAATTTCTACGATCCGGCGCGAATCCGGCGCCAAAGCCATAGAAATACTTAGAACAAACGAGTGGGACGCTTGGGCTGTTTTTATTCTCATGTTTTTGGGAATGCGCGGCCTCTGATGGATACTGCAGATGCAGCCGAGTTGCTCTTGAGTTCTGGCCCTCGTCATCATCTTCTGTTCTTATTTTGTAGCACCTCCAATGTTATCCGCATCAGGAAATTGCGTTTTACTCGTATTTGAGAGCGCAATTAAAGGACTTGGCAAAGTGCCAAGGAGCCGCACACGACCCGCGCACGCGACACGCGCGCTTACGACGGATGTTATGAAGGACGGGAATCTGCGCCGCAAAAAGGTGTAAGGCGGAGCATGGAGGAATTAGCGTGTTTCACGGTCCTGTATCTCCATTCCTGGGCATGTTTGGGCGGGGGGACCACGACACATCGACAGCTGGGGGCTGATAGTCTCATACACCCTCAATGTGTTTGAGCGTACTATGTGTCTTTAAGTACCGGGAATGAAGCTGGAAACTTCAAAAATTGCATTCCTTCAACGTTTTTGGTGTATTTCTCAAACGTTAAACGGAACGGAAACGGGGCATTGAAATAACCTTCATTCTACAGTATCGACTCCGCAAGGCCTTCGAAGATGCTTTTACGTAATTATCAGGTCATCCCATTCAAAAATGTAGATACATATAGAGCAATAGCAGGAAAGCGCGGGTGTAATATGTGTAGCCTTCTATATAGTTTGTGAGCTAGTACAGTTAGCTACCTATAAGTGAAACTGGCTAGCTTAGTCGCAGAAGAAAGTGTAGAGATTTTAAAAAGAAGCTCGAGTGTTCAAAATCAGCGCCGGATTTTTGAATCGGGCATAACAAGAGGAAGGTGCGCTGCTTCAGTTCGACTTGTGCAGGACCAGTATTTGGTTCAGCATCATGGTGGATTTGCTTCGGACATTCGTGGATGGTCCCTACACAAGAAAAAATGGTGAATGAAGTCAAGCGCTGAATGTCTGATCACAGAGGCTGGACCCTGGTCGAGCTTCTACGCGAGACTGACATCCCTGCTGCAACTGCTGCCCGAGTTATGTCCGATAAACTGAGGATGGTCAAGAGGGTGTGCGCATGGGTACCTAATTTTCTTGTAGAAGCACGAACGCAGTACCGATTCTATGCCTCTAGCAGTAATGTTCTCAGCATGAGATGTCATTCACGACTGTGAAAACGCACCCCGGCCCTAGATGAAATATGGGTGGTCTTGGACCTCGAGCCAAAACTCACAATCGTCAATTTTGTATGAATGCAGATGAGAAGCCGCCCGAGCTCTAGTTCTAAACGCTACAACTTTTGGATCATTCGCCGAAATTGGCATTAACAGCAATTTACTCGCACTTCTTTAAAAAACTGAGAGCGGGTCCTTGGATGGAGGAGGGATCTACTTAACTAAATGCCAAGATATTACTTTTTAATCTGTTTTCCTCTTCGTTTTATATGAAAAAAAACCTTCCACATTTTTGAATGGGTGACCTAATACTTCCGCACATTCTTAGGAATTTTCCCTGGGCGGGCAGAA